CTGATGCGGGACTCGATCCCAGGACCCTGAGATCATGACCTGAGCCGAAGGCAGTGGCTTAACCCACTAAGCCACCCAGGCGCCCGAGATCATTATTTCTGAAGTGCTATCAGTAGTTTCATGGTGCCCTGGTATCTCTTTGGAGATCCACACTTTGATAAATAATTTTATTATTTTAACTGCAATATATTTAATATCTAACATCCTCTTAGGTATACAACATGTTGATTCGATGTGTTGATAGATTGTGAGATGACTGTCATTGTAGCAACAGTTAGCCCCTCTCACACCACAGAATTATTTTATTTTCTGTGGTGATTTAGTTTCTTAGCAAATGTGATGACTATAATACTGTCTACATTCACTACACTACGCATTAACTCTAGGACTTACTACTACTTGCAAGTTTGTACCTTTAAACATTTCTTCTACCCCACCCCAACCCAGGGACCACCATTTTACTCTCTGCTTTTATGAATTTTACTTTTTTGATTCCACATCATAGTGAATGCCATGTTTAAGACTATTTGTCTTTGGGGCGCCTCGGTGGCTCAGTGGGTTACAGCCTCTGCCTTCGGCTCAGGTCATGGTCCCAGGGTCCTGGGATTGAGCCCCGCGTCAGGCTCTCTGCTCAGCGGGGAGCCTGCTTCCCTTCCTCTCTCTCTGCCTGCCTCTCTGCCTACTTGTGATCTCTGTCAAATAAATAAATAAATATTAAAAAAAAAAGAAAGAAAGACTATTCATCTTTCTCTGACTTATCTCAGCATACACCTTAAAGGTTAATATGTGGCAAAATTTTCTTCTTTTTCATGGTCGCATAATATTCCTTAAGATTTTTCTCACACACACACACACACACACCTCACATCTTCTTTATCCATTTATCTGTTGATGGGTACTTGGGTCGTTCCATTATCTTAGCTATTGTAAATAATACTGCAAGAAAATGGGCACACATCTACCTCTTTGATATTCTGTTTTCATTTCCTTTGGGTACCCATAAGTGGAATAAGTAGTGGAGTAAGTAGATCTATTTTTAACTTTTTGAGGAACTCCATATTGTTTTCCATAGTGACTGAAACAATTATGTTCCACCAATTACGTATGAAGGTTCCCTTTTCTCCACAGCCTTGTCAATGCCTGTTATTTCTTGTCTTCTTGAGTTTAGCCATTCTAACAGGTGTGAGGTGGTATCTCATTCTCGATTTGATTTGCAATTCCTTGATGATTCGTGATATTCCGTATCTTTTCTGTACCTGCTGGCCATTTGGAGGTCTTCTTCCAGCTGTTTCAGATTTTTCACTTGCAAATGGTACTGCCTACCAGTGGCCAGTCAGTCATCACCAACTGAGGAGAAAGATACTGAATGCTCTCTTCAGCCTCAGCTCCTAGCTAGGTCTTCTAGTCCCCCTAGGAGTTACTGGGCCTCTATTAGTACAGTGCATCCGACCTCATTTAGCTCCTGCTCCCTATTTATCTTTATTTGTTAGAGTCTGCAGTGGTGGAAGGATAAAGGATTGGGACTTCAAACCTCTAACATGTAATTCACTAAGGTTGGTTTCCACTGTCACTTCAATTGGATTATATTAAAGAAATGTGTTCAGGGATGAATCAAAGTGGAAAAGCACACTGCAAAGAAGGGAGCAACTAGGTTATTCACATCATTTTGAACTTGTGCGTATGACTGAAGGAGGCTGGTCCTGCCTAGGTGTTCATCTCTTCCACCTGGTCCCAGGCAGCGATGGCCTGCCCTCCACATTCTTCTATCAGACCAAAACTAGATGTGACCTGTCAAGCCACACTCTGGTACTACACCAAGCTGTATCTGGGAGGACACTGCAGGTGTGTGTGGGATCTCACTCCAACCACCCTGCTAAGTGATACCCACGCACTTGTTCTCCCTGTACTTCCTGCCCTCTGAGTCATGAACTCCTAGACACCCGTTCGAAATCCACTGCAGGGGCAGCTTGAGGAATGCTTTCCTGACTCTCCGAAGATGTAGTTAATCATTTCGTTCTCTGTGCCACTTCCATATTTTACGTATTTAGTATATGATAAAGTACTTTCTACATGTCACACAGTGTTCTAAGTGCTTTATGTATATTGACTTTTTTTTTTTTTTTTGGAACTACTTATGTTCCCTACGCCCTGACAGCAGCAGCAGGATGGCAGTCAGCTGTGCAACAGAGAGGGCCGGCAATTCTTCCGCACCACAGCACCACCAAGAGTCCCGCCCACGGATCTAAAGACAGCGCTGATAGACGGACTCGCTCAGCTTTCACCAGTTCTGTGAGGTATTTTCAATGCATCTGCTTCACAGATGAGGAAACAAAGAGGCACACAAAGCAAACAACCTGTTCTGAGTGAGCTACTTTGAACCCAAGTAGCTCTTAAAACATTCTGCCGTGTGTTTCTATTGCTGCACTTGATACACTATGTTGGCTAGTTGTTGGCTTCCAAGTCCTCTTCAACCCTAGGAGCTTCTGGAAGCAAGGGCCTGGTCGTACTGAGCTCTGTATTCCACGACTTAGCAGTCCCAAACTGATGGGACTTCCTTTGCACTTATGAGGCCACAGCAGAGGCCCTCAGCTGTGACCAGCCAAATCACCAACTTTCTCATATGCCTGGCTAGTTAGAATCTAAGTAAATCAAGTACACTGGCCATCTGCAGTCATTCCTGGGAAATATCTCCTCTGAATCTAGAGCCATGAAAAAAAAGGAACACCATTCCATAAAAAACTCCAGAATCTCAACAAAAATTGGAAACTAACCTCTAAAGGCAAAAAAAAAAAAAAAAACAAAAAACCCCAACTCAGGCAGAATCCAGAATTCTTTTTGGAATCAAGAAAGACATTAGTGAGAAATCAAACACAAAAGAGTTATAGGTCAATCACACCTCAATAATATTAATAACAATAATATACAAACAACAAAAAACCAAATGGAGACTCTGGGCAGGTGAATTACAGCTAAGGGCCTTCAGCAGCATTGGATCCAGAGAAATACACTTAATACACGTAATAGTAACAAGAGCCGGCACTGCCAAATGCTTTTCTGGGATTTGAATCTGGCTCTGCCCCCGACTACCCTGGTTATGACCTTGGTTAGGTTCTTCAACCTTTTAGCACCTGATGTTCCACATCCATAAAAGGCAAAAAGAGACCCATGTTTTAGTGTTGTGAGGATTAGATGAGTAACAGGAGTCAAATGCTTAGCACAGTGCCTGATATACAGCAAGGGTCCAATGAACAAAAGCTGTTTTTCTTCCTGCATATTTAGTAACATAGGCAGAGAACTGCTGGCATGGAAGGCACACTATTACAAATACCCATCAACCTTTGCTCCTGGTGCCTGGCACCCAGGAGCCATTTAGTGGGTTTTCACAGAATGAATGAATGAATGAATGAATGGCCCAAGTGCTTCCCAGGCTTTTGTTCAAGAAGAGAAACTAGAATGGCAATCAGAAATAAGGCTAACACGTCACAAGGACCAGGCCAGTGAACACTTCAATTTAGCATTCTATTCACGAGATCGATGTGTCACAGACATCCACTGTATGTGTTCGTAATAATGATCCTCAGGCATTGTATAAAGCCTCTTGTGTTTTAGGAGTTTTCAGTGGTTAAATTAGCTTCAAGGAAATTAAAATTAAGTATACATTACTGCATTCAAATGCTTTAAAAATTGGAAATCCACGCAAAGCATAAATGGCAACAATGAATTAACTGGTATATTCTGATTGATTGCAACACTCAGTTCACACTTCTCTACCCACACAGTGTTGTATCCGTCTACATTGTCTATTTCCCACTAGACTGTGAACGCCTCTTATGTCTAGCACTTTAGTACCCACAGTGCCTGGGACAGAACTGTGGTCAGTAAATACTTGACAATAACCTGCCGCTGGGCTCCATGACCACACCACACTATGGCGTTCAATCCAGCAACATGTTCTTTTGGTGTACTTCCATTCCCACAAGACAACAGAAACCTCCTATCTTAAGATTTTTAAATACAAATTGCAACATATAAAAATATGGTACGCTTTAAGAAAATCATTCTTTAAAACCCTAAAATTTAAGACTAACTGATTTGACAGAGTATAGTTTAAACTGGGAGCTAAAGCATCTAAAATGTCCCTTTTTAATTCAGATAATTTCTAACAAAGTCAGATAAAAGCTGCTGATTTTCTTATAAGCAACCATTAAAGGCTTATACTGCTGTCAGATTTACACGGTACTATTGTACTATGGATGGTGGTACTTGCTCAAAGACCAAGAATTGGGAAGAAGAAAAGACAGAAGTAGGTGAAGGAAAGGAAGATTAAGAAGCAACCTCTGACTGATCCTCCTAATAAAAATATTAGGCTCAGGAACCTACTCTGGACTCATGTCAGAAAGAAAACTGAGCTGAAAAGAAAACCAGCTTATCGCCTCCTGGACTCTGACACAAACACTAGGGAAAACGGCCAATGTATTGGGACGAAAGGTGGGTGCCCAGCCCAGCAGGTGAAGGCCGACTGTGAGGCAGTGCCCCCTTTAGCCCAGTGCCCCAGCCTCCTTTTACATTCCACGGGGGTCCTTAACTCTTACGGAGGTCGAAGTAAGGCCGCTCTAAAGCTGTGCACCCTTCCTGGGTACTTGAAGAAGAGCAGGGATGAAAATGGTAGCAAGGGGATCTTGACTTTAAAGTAGGAAGTTGAGTTTTCATCTGTCAGTGGGGAGGTTTGGGTGTTTGTATTAGAGATGCCAAAGGCAAACTCCCTCGCTCTCACGTCTTCCGGGATCTGCACCATTTTCCTGGAGGGAGGATTTGTCAGGAGGGGGGGTGGGGTGGGGGTGGGGGGGATGGGGTGTCAGGGGAAGGTTTCTGGAAAAGTACACTCTGGTATTCACTTGGCCCAAAGGTAGAATTTCCCCTAAAGGGGATCAGGTCTCATGACAGTGTGTTGGGCAGGAAATGGTTGTATAAAATGGTCATTATCTAACTCTCAGAGCCATTTTTGAGGATCAAATGCAATATTTTAGAGCATTTAACACACTGTCAGGCACATAAGGGCCTGATAAGTGTTGACTCTTATTTCACGGAGAAGTACCAACAAGGATGAAAATAAGCTCCAAAGAAAATTTGTTCACAGACCATTAGGAATAACTCCAACTCTGCTGAACTCCTTAAGGGCTGCTTATGATACAACAGAGCAAAAACGGTTTTCTTTTTTAAGATCTATCATTTTAGAAGTTACTGTGGCAACATGTAATTTCAAATCTTTCCAATGCCCAGCAACCGTAATATATTTATTACCATTTGTTGGTTAAAACATCCCTTAAGTGAGTGTAACTAGCAGAGTTTAACTAAATCACCTATGAAACATGGCCCTCCTGTGCTCTTAGGATGTGACATCTTACCAGATGTGCATCTCTCTTACTAGCTTTCCTCTCTCAATCTCACAGTGGTTATAAGGGCTGAGGACTCCTACTTCCTGATAGTTGGCTGTCGAAAGCGTGTTTATAGAGCAAGCAAGTTCTGAAATAAAAGAATAAAAGAAGCCAGAGAGAGTCTCCTTCATTACCAGTTGCCATATTTTAGTATTAAATAAGAAAGCAATTTCAAAAAATCTAATCAGGAATGGTACCAGTCTACTGCCTAGATTAGCTATGCCACTGAACAAATAACAAGTGTTTAAATGACTCAAGCAGATACTGTCAGGTGTGATGAGGTAAAAGATACCTAAAATAAACTGAAGAAACCAGACCTGGCAGAAATAGCAGAGCAGAGCTTCTGAGGAGACACAGCCCTGCCCGGAAGCTCTGCCAGCAGCTACACAGTTCAATCTGGCAGGCACGGTCACCATAAAAACTAAAGACAGAAGGAGAGGACACAGAGGTATGTTTCAGGGCAGGGCCAAACATCAAAAAAAGACAAGGTCTGCGGGGGGAGATATATGCTATGAACCAAGCACATGACAGGTATCCAGAATTCTCAGTTCTACACAGATCTGTCACACCATTACCCATCTGCTCCCTTACACTGAGTCTCTGTCAGAAACAAAGGTAAGGGGGATACATTTGGTTCCTGCACCAGAACAACACAGAATAAGACCACCCTCCCTCATCAGAATTATAGTTTACGGTGGGGTATGCAAAGGTAGACGTTTTCTCAAAGCAGTTGTCCTCAGCCTCTGCATGATGGTGTTCCCTGCTGAAAATCAAATAATACAGAAAAATATTTATCTCAAAGGATAGGTTCCTCTTTGATTGGCTTTAGTTATGTAACAGTTTCTTAAATTTCTTGCATTCGTTCCTTCTTGGTTGGGTTGGGAACATACAGAAGCAGCTGACAAAATGAACAAACGAAAAGCAACTTTTCCTTGTGGTTAATTTGTTACACTTGATCTTAGCCAAAAGGCCCAGAAGCAATTAACTTGTTAAAAGCTTCCTTTGTTTGCTCGGGTGGTCTTGTTTGTGGGTACGTTTGTTTTTGTGCCTGCCTAATACATATCGGCCTCACCCCTACAACCCTCCGTTAGTTTGTCAACATCATTCGTCAGGCGACAATCAGTATCTGCCAGCTGAGTATGAAGCAAAATTCTGTAACAAAATCAGTTTCTGAGAAGCTTATAATCTGGATGGAAGAGACAGATCTTGAATTATTGGGAAAATATTTAATTTCTAATTCTTTTAAAAACAAAATAAAAGAGGGGTGCCAGGTTGGTTTAGTTGGTAGACCACGTGACTCCTGATTGTGGGGTAATGAGTTCAAGTCCCTTGCTGGATGTAGAGATTACTTAAATCAATCTTTTAAAAAATAAATAAAAGCAAATAAAAGATATACTCATTGGCCAAGATTTTTCCCATTTCTCATGTCACTAACAGGAGGGTTAAATATGCAAGCTAATAATGAAAACTGCTATCTTAGGTACAAACATAAATGCCCTCTTCTTTTTTTTTTTTTTTTTTTTTTTTAAAGATTTTTTATTTATTTATTTGACAGAGAGAGATCACAAAGCAGGCAGAGAGGCAGGCAGAGAGAGAGGAGGAAGCAGGCTCCCTGCTGAGCAGAGAGCCTGATGCGGGGCTCGATCCCAGGACCCTGAGATCATGACCCGAGCTGAAGGCAGCGGCTTAACCCACTGAGCCACCCAGGCGCCCCAAATGCCCTCTTCTTTATTAATGGGTGTGAATATGAAACATGATCTCTTGTAAAAATAAATAAATAAAGACAGCTTTGTTCTTTGACAATTTCAGAATAAGGAACTTTGGTTTTTTATTCCCTTTAAGTCTTTCTGTAGTTGACCGCTTTTTTCTGGCTTTGCCATTCACTTCGGCTTTGTATCACCTCAGATCCTCAGAGAAAACAAGGACAGAGAGTCCTCATCTAGAAAACATTTCCTAGTTTTACATTTTAAAAGTCAGTATTTAAAAAGAAAAACCTTCTTAACCCCCCCCAGCCCCTCGCCCCCTTCTGAATAATCTAGGTTTAATACAAGCCTATAAATAAAATTTTTTCCTCAAAAGAAACAAAAACAAAAACAAAACCAAAACACAACACTTGAGTAACTTTACAAGAATTATTGTTTAAAAAATTTACCTAGGGAAATTAAACTTCCAGTCATTTCACCCCTACAACAGACGGTACTCAGGTATCTGAGTTTCGGCGGTGCGTCCTCAGCGCACCGCCCTTTAATTGTTCTGCTGGCATGCTGGCCAAGTCTTCTTAATCACTCTTTTCTTCTCCTTGATAATGTCTATATTCTGGCTTCAGCTCCCACGTGTTTTTGTGGGTCCCTTTTACATTCTGAACACCAATTTCTTTCAAGATTTCCTTTAGGTACCCCTAAAAACAAAAACAACCCAAGATGAGACTTTGAAGGCGAGACAAAATTTAAAATAAAACCATACACCAAACCCCACTCACAAGTAATACAAATTATGATCTTGAAAGCTCGGCAAGATTTCTCTATAAAGATGTTCAACGAACTGTCTCTTGGTTCTACACATGCAGTACAAGCTGTGTTAAAGATACATTCACTTGCATTAAAGGGACTGGAAGTGTGGAATGCCAATGACCTGAGAGCTTGAAAAAAGACCAAAAACGTTCCGATGAAAATACACCAGAAAGTTACTGGTGCTCACTGCTTACTAAGATGACATGGTATATACCACGTGGAATCTTCCCTTGTGTTCAGTGGCTTCATTCAGTTCACAGTTGGGCAGGGTTATTCTTGGACTGGAACCAGTCATTTCAGAAGAAGGAGCACATATACAAAAATAACAAATATTTTGGGGATGATAATATTCTAGAAAGCAAGCACATGACAGGCATTCGGAATTCTCAATTCTAAGGTGACTTTTCAAATTTGCTATCAGGCCACTTGTTTTCCTGTGTAATGAAGAAGATTATCCTTCATCTTTAGTATTGTTTTGATCTTAGCCAAGCTTGCCAAGACAGGGTAAGGAATAAGAAGTGATAACAAGACATGGTAAAAGCCATGGAGTCTGCGGTTTTCTCATGCTTGGCTCCTCCAGAGGAAGGAGGTGAGCTGTGACACAAGACAGAACTCTGTTTTATGTCATTTTAGGTCCTCAAAATCAATACACATTAACCAAATGATTATTATATTCAGGGAAATGATGGCAGTGATACATATAGTAGCAAACCCTACCTTTACTTGGCAATGTCCAAGGCCAAAAAGCATTCCACTACAAATTGACCAATTAAATTATAGTACTGCTTTCTTGGCAATAGAGAGAAAAGTTAATTATTTTTAAGTGTTTTTTGGGGCTCCTGGGTGGCTCAGTCAGTTAAGTGTCTGTCTTCAGCTCAGGTCATGATCTTGGGGTCTTGGGATCAAGCCCCACATCCTCGTGGTTAGGCTCCCTGCTCAGTGGGGAGTCCGGTTCTCGCTCTACCTTTGCTCCTCCCCTCTGCTTGTGCTTGCTTTCACGCACGCTCTCTCTCTCTTTCTCTCTGGCACTCTTTTTCAAATGAATAAATAAAATCTTTAAAAAGTGTTTCTTCCCCGGGGCGCCTGGGTGGCTCAGTGGGTTAAAGCGTCTGCCTTCGGCTCAGGTTATGGTCCCAGGGTCCTGGGATCGAGCCCTGCATCGGGCTCTCTGCTCGGCAGGGAGTCTGCTTCCTTCTCACTCTCTGCCTGCCTCTCTGCCTACTTGCGATCTCTGTCAAATAAATAAATAAAATCTTTAAAAAAAAAAAGTGTTTTTTCCCCATGCAGAACCAATCCAGTAATATTTTGCATATATGCTTCACAGAACCAGTTACAGTACTAGTGACTGACCCTGCTGACAGAGGATGTAATATTTTTTACTTATTGAAATGAGGTACTGACTAGAAAAATGGCTGAGAACCTCTTACAGAGATAATGTTTAAGGCAGTGCCCTTCCTGGGGCTGACTACTTGTCCCAGAGCCTCATGGGAGACTTGTTAAATAAACCTCCCATCTTAGGCCTAGTGAATCAAAATCTCTGGGGCCAGACCTGGGAATCTGCATTTTCACAAGCCTCTAGGAGACTCTGATTTAAGTACACTAAAGTTCCACGGCATCTGCTTTAATGGTTCACCCAGCCCTAATACTCTAGGATCTTGAGTCCTCGAAGTTTAAGTGCTGGGGATTCTGTATTAACAAACCCAATCACATACCACCTTACACTGACTGGCACTGTAATGCTCTACTGTTTGGATCCTTTCATTTAGGGGCTGGCTGTCACCTGGAAACAAGAGCTGATTAACACTGGAACCACATGGCCCTGGATGGCTTAGTGGGAATACAGGTGTGGCCTCCCCATTCCAGCAGCCAGGGCCCAGCAGGTGGCAGCAATGAATCAAATGAGGCCTGGGTTTCCCCAGAAAGAAGCCTGCTTGTCTCCCACACTTTCTGCAGTTGCCTTCACTAAAGGATCGGTGCCAATGAGTAAGCATAAAGGCTCGCGCCATCCAGGTGATATGCACAGCTGCTCTCCGCTGCTTCAAATCACATTTTTAAAACGGGACACTGTTCATAAGCTACTTTCTCATTAAGCAGTATTCATAAAGGGAAAATGATGTGCTGGACACAAAGGATTTTCAGTTTAGATGCCAAGAATGACATCTTTGTAAAATTCCAAAGGACGATTTATTGGGAGGCAGGCTACAAACCTGGACACAAACAATCAAACAATTGGCCGCACTGCTCTCGGTCAAAACTGCAAAGAGCAATTGCTGGGAGCACTGTGGCCGGGAGCCAGCAGCTCTCCGGACTGCCAAGTGTACTGTGAACATTCAGAAGCCAGACACAGACGTGAAAAGCCTCAAGAGGGTTAAACACAAAATAGTAAAGTCTCAAGTGTACAAATACAGTTGCTTTCATGTGTAGTCCACACTCATTTTGTTAAATTAGTATAACGTTACGGAGTATTTTGTTTTCCTAATGAAAATTCACTCCCTATTTCCTTTTCAACAGTAAGAACAGAATGAGATAGTCTGTCAGTCTGTCAAGTAACGAGTTGGGATTAGGGTCACAGTATCTACCCATGGTACAGAATTCTTTTTTTGGTGGAAGGTGGGGGAAAAGGACATTTCTGGAGTTTTAGAATGTTCCAAACTGCAACCTAAAGTCATTTTACTCTAACCAAATGAATCAATTTGGCACAACCCATTAGTAAAGAAAGTAAAGTAATGATAGGGAAACAGGCCACAAAAGTCCCTGAAGGAAAGACACAGGTAGGGAACAGTGAGATCATGTCATTCCACTGTTGAGAGAAAATTTTTTAGATTTAATTTATTTATTTGAGAGAGAGAGCGAGCTCACATGCACAAGTGGCAGTAAGGGCAGAGGAGAGGGAGAAGGAGACTCCCTGCTGAGCAGGGAGCCTGACACAGGGCTCGTGGTTCCCAAGACCCTGGGATCGTGACCTGAGCCAAAGGCAGATGCTTAATCTGTTGAAAACTTTTTAATAACTTCCCCTTTGGCCTAGAGGTTAACTTTCATACTCCTTCATAGGCATCCATTCAGGCCTGCCTTTTCCCTTTGGCCTCTTCTAAGAATTCCCTGAAGACATGCTTGTCACTTCTGTGTCTACATGCTTCCTATTTTCTCCATATGCCATTCCCTCTCCCTGTCATGCTTATCCCCTTTCGTCAGATCTGAACTCATCCTTGAAGACTGCATGAATGTCCCTCTCTCAGACCAACTTTCCCTAACAGTCACACATCTTAGATTTACATTTCACACTGGATGTTCTTCAGTGATGGCCCTCATACTACACTGTACCCCTTGACCCACATGCCTCTCTCCCATCAAGCCATGCGCTCCTACGGCAGTGGATGCCTGCACATCACAGAGTCTCAGTGCATTTACACTGAACAAACAAGGTATGCTTAAGAGCAAACAAGGGAACTAAGAGGATTTAGTGGGGGAGTTGTCTGAGGTAAGATCACTTAGAAGGTCCACAGGACTAAACTATGCTAAATCTAGTTCTGCTCATTTTTAGAACTCAGGCTCTAATTAACTTATAGGGCAATGAAAAATACAAGTTGACTGATTAAATTGTATTACCTGATTCGGAATGACATTTGTGACTAAAAATCTACATTTTAGTGGTAAAATATTGCTGGGAACAAAGTCATCTGAGAGGGAAATTTTAAAGATTCTAACAGGATTGAAGATCAATTGACAATCTAACTTTCCTTTAATAAAAATTCATACATTTACACAAATATTTATTTTAGAACCTACTATGGGCCAGATGGATTGGTAACACAGTCAGTCTTCAACATCAAGACTTTACAGTTTAAAAGTAGTGTGAGCGAGTGGGGAGGCAAAGGCACAGGAGCAGGCAGTCACAAACTAAAGTGCAGAAATAAGGACACATATATGCAGGATATCATGGAGCACTGAGATGGGGCACTTAACCCAGCCGGAGCCATGATCTTCGGTTTTGAGGATATGTATTTGATCCTTTGAATTGAATGGCAATTCCGTGCAGAGATCAGGAGATACTAGCTCTTCTTCTCTCATACTAAACAATGATTTTCCAATTTCATCTTTTGCCTACCACCTGCATTTTAAACAAAGGATTCTAGAACTTGGTAGATCACCTTTATGTGACACAGGACCGGTGAGATTTCTCATTATTGCTCTGTGCAGTGCTGCAGAACAGTATCAGAAATAATCAACTGGCTCAGGTCCAGCAACCCTTCGTCAAAGGGATGTGTGGGAGAGTATTTATAGCAAGTCTGAATTGCAGAGAAAAAAGGGATAGAACATTAAAGCTTCTTTGGAAGGAAAAGACAAAGCAAATACTGGACCAAAGAGCTCAAGTGATTAGGATGTGATTTGCGTACTTGTGGGTCAAGATGACACTGTGGTGGCCCAAAAGCCAGAAACCCACAAATTCCTATTTTTTCCCCCCAAATCACGACAGTCCTATGTAGGGTCACAAGGGACAGTAGCCTACTATCTACAGTCTTTCTCTTTCTCCTCATTTCCCTTCCTCCCTCCTTCCCTCCACCCCCACCATTTCTTGTATCATCTTTTCCTCTACTGCTCTGCCAACTAATTCCCAAACCAGGAATTTCGGTTAAGTGTTATGTATATAATAACAAGCTAACTATATCTAAATTCCTAGAAATTGGCCCAAAACATGTATCTTTAACAAAGAGCTGATCACCAACTATTAATGCTTTAAGTGAATAAATAATATGACCCAGGGCACCTGGGTAGCTCAGTGGGTTAAGCCTCTGCCTTCAGCTCAGGTCATGATTGCGGGGTCCTGGGATCGAGCCCCACATTGGGCGCTCTGCTCAGCGGGGAGCCTGCTTACCGCCCCCCACCCTGC